AAAAGAAAAAACCAAACAGCCCAATTACAAAGTGGGCAAAAGGTATGAATAGACAATTCTCAAAAGAAGATATACAAACAGCCAACAGATACATGAAAAAATGCTCAACCTCACTAATCATCAAAGATACACAAATTAAAATTACACTGACATACCACCCAACTCGAGTCAGGATGGTCATCATCAACAACTCAAAAAACAACAGATGCTGGAAAGGTTGTGGAGAGAAGGGAACGCTTCCACACTGCTGTTGGGAATGTAAACTAGAACAGCCTCTGTGGAAAACAGTGTGGTGATTCCTAAAAGATCTAAAAATTGACCTTCCATACAACTCCACGATCCCCCTACTAGGAATACACCCAGAGGAATTCAAATCACTCTATGAAAAAGATACCTGCACACATATATTTATTGCAGCATTGTTCACAATAGCAAGAACATGGAGCCAAATGTGCTGCCCATCAAAAGAAGACTGAATTTAAAAAATGGTACATATACACAATGGAATATTACACAGCCATAAAGAAAAACAAAACCATGAACTTCACAGCAACCTGGATGGACTTAGAATCTATAGTACTGAGTGATCTTTCACAGAAGCAAAGAAGTATCACATTTTCTGACTCATAAGTGGACCTTGAACAATTATCATAATACTATAAGAAAAGGATTGACAGGAACAGAAAAATGCCAGTGGGTGGAGGTGGGACAGGGAAGTGGGATTGGCAGTAGTGGGAATCTGCCTGAGGAAGGGAGGCATACCTCATCAACAAGGGTACCTGTATAATGAACATTTATATACCTAACCCTGACTTGTGCCCTACATTTTTAAAGTAAAAAAAATAAAAGTTAAAAACAAAGAGAAATCTGTTTTCAGACAAATTGAAGATTTTTATGTTTGTTTTTGTTTTTTACATGTTATTTGTTTCTTTTCTCTTGCTGGTTTTAGAATCTTCTTTTTGTCCTTGACTTTTGAGAGTTTGATTGCTATATACCTTGGGATAGTCTTATTTGGGTCAAATCTGTTTGGTGTTTTCTGGCCTTCTTGTACCTAGATTATTTCTCTCCTTCTCAAGATTTGGAAAGTTTTCTCTTACCATTTATTTGAATTAGCATTCTACGCCCTGCTCTTGCTCAACTCCCTTTTGAACAACAGCAATTCTTAGATTTGAACTTTGGAAGTAAGTGTTTATATCTTGCAGGCAATCTTTGTTGCTTTTCCTTTCTTTTCTTTTTTTCTTCACCTCTGACTGTGTGTGTGTGTGTGTGTGTGTGTGTGTGTGTGTGTGTGTGTGTGTGTGTTTATTTAAATAGCTTGTTTTAAAGCTTACCAACTTTTTTGTTCTGTTTGGTCCATTCTAAAGCTGAGAGCCAATAATGAGTTTTTCAATTTAGTCAATGTATTTCTCAGCTCTAATGTTTCTGTTTTGTTAATATTATTGTTTTCATCCCTTTTTAAATATTTCTCCAATAGGCTAATATAGACTCAAAGTAAAGAGGTGGGGGGAAATATTCCATGCAAATGAAAACCAGAAAGAGCAGGAGTAGCCATCCTCATATCAGATAAAACAGATGGTAAATTAACAACCATAATAAATAAATAAATAAATAAATAAATAAAAAGATGCCCAGTATATACTTATAAAGGGATCAATACTACAAGAGAACATAACAATTTTAAATATATATGCACCTCACACTAGAGTCCCCAGCTTTATGAAACTAATTATACTAGATCCAAAAAAGGAGATAGAAAGCAAAGCAATAATAGTGGGAGACCTCAACACTCAACTTACAGCAATAGATAGATCATCAAGGCAGAAAGTCAACAAACAAACATTGAAGTTAAACAGGACTCTAGAAGAAATGAAGCTAACAGACATCTACAGAACATCCCATTCCCATGTTACAGAATATACAATTTTTTCATCAACACATGGAACATTCTCCAAGACAGACCATTTGAATGACCAAAAAAAGTCGACTCAATAAATTCAAGAAAATAGAAATTATATCAAGAATCATCTCAGACCACAATGGAATAAAACGAGAAATTGACTCCAAGAAGAACTCACAATACCAAACAAAAATATGAAAGGTAAACAACGTTCTCTTGAATGATCCTTGATCAATAGTGAAATCAAGATGGAAATTTAAAAATTCCTTGAAACAAAAAACAACAACGAAACAAGTTATCAAAACCTCTGGGTCACAGCCAAAGCTATGCACAGAGAGAAATGTATAGCCCTTAAGGCCTATATTAATAAGACTGAAAGATCACACATCAACAACCTAACATCACACCTCACAGAATTAGAAAAATGCGTACAAACCAAACCCAAAGTTAGCAGAAGAAAAGAAGCAATAAAGATCAGAGCAGAACTAAATGATTAAAAAATGGAAAGAGGAGACACAAATCACCTCAATTACAAATGAAAGAGAAGACATTACAACTGATATGGTAGAGATTCAAAAAATCATCCAAGACTATTACTAATACCAATATGCAAACAAACTAGACAAGCTAGAGGAGATGGATAAATTCTTGTAAACGTACAACCCCCCAATTATGAATCAGGAATAAATTGAAACACTGAACAGACCAATAATAAGTAGCAAGATTGAAATAGTCATTAGAAGGATTCCAACAAAAAAAAGTCCAGGCTGACGGATTCACTGCTGAATTGTACCAGACCTTCAAAAAACAACTTGCCCCAATTTTACTGAAGCTATTCCACAAGATTGAAGAAGAGGGAATCCTACCTAACTCACTGTACGAGACCAGTATCACTCTGATACCAAAGCCAGGAAAAGACACAATTTAAAAAAGAAAACTACAGACTAATATCCCTTATGAACATAGACACAAATTACACTGTGACAAAGTGTGTTTTATCCCAAGGATGCAAGGGTGGTTCAACATACACAAGTCAATAAATGTGATCCACTACATAAACAGAATTAAAAACAAAAATCATATGATAATTTCAATAGATGTAGAAAGAGCATTCAATAAAATCCAACATCACTTCAATAAAATCCAACATCACTTCATGATAAAAAGCCTCTGCAAAATAGGTATAAAGGGAACATTCCTCAAAATAATAAAAGCTGTATATGTCAAACTCACAGCCAATGTCATTTTGAATGGAGAAAAATTGAACACATTCTCTCTCAGAACTGGAACAAAGCAAGGATGCCCTCTTTCATTACTATTATACAACATAGTACCAGAAGTCCTAGCCAGAGTAATCAAACAAGACAAAGAAATAATATCCAAATTGGAAAAGAAAAAAATCTATCTTTGTATGTTGATGACATGATCTTATACCTAGAGAACCCTAAGACTCCTCCAAGAAACTCCTTGTCTTGGTAAATAAACCTGGTAAAGATTCAGGATACAAATTAACACACACAAATCAGTAGCACTACTAGCCACCAAAAACAACCAGGCTGAGAATCAAACCAGGAACTAAATTCCATTACAATAGCAACCAAAGGCTAAAATACCTAGGAATATATTTAACCAAGATCTCTACAAGAAGAACTACCAAACTCCAATGAAAGAAATCGCAAAGGACACAAATAAATGGAGAAACAGTTCGTGCTCATGGATTTGAAGAATCAACATTGTTAAAATGACCATGTTACTCAAAGTAATATGATTCAATGCAATCCCTATCAAACATCATCATTTTTCAAAGAATTATAAAAAACAATCCTAAAATTCATACAGAACCAACAACGAGCCAGAATAGCCAAAGAAATTCTAAGCAAAAAGAACAATGCTGGAGGTATCATATTAACTGACTTTAAATTATACTACAAGGCTGTGGTAACCAAAACAGCTTGGTACTGGTATAAGAACAGACACATGGACCAATGGAACAGAATAGAGAATCCAGAAATAAACCCAAATGCCTACAACTAACTGATCTTTGACAAAGCAGACAAATACATGCACTGGGGAAAGGACACTTTATTCAAAAAATGGTGCTAGAAAAATTGGATAGCTACACGCAGAAAAATGGAACTTGATTCCTATCTCTTCCCATAAACAAAAATTAACTCAAGATGGATTAAAGATTTAAATGTCAGACCTTAAACCATACACATCCTAGAAGAAAACCTAGGAAAAGTTCTTCTGTATATCAACCTAGGCAAAGAATTTATGGCTGAGACTCCAAAAGCGAATGCAACTAAAACAAAAATAAGCAAATGAGACTTAATTAAACTAAAATTCTTCTACACAGCAAAAGAAATCATCAAAAAGGTAAATAAGAACCTACATAATAGGAGAAGATGTTCACAAACTATGCATCTGACAAAGGACTAGTAAACAGAACCTACAAAAAACTCAAATAAATCAGCAAGAAAAAAAGCAAATAACCCCATTAAAAAGAGGAAAAATGACATGAACAGACATCTCTCAAAGAAAGATACACAAATGACCAACAAACATATGAAAAAATGCTCAACATCATCAGGGAAATGCAAATTAAAACCGCAATGAGATACCATGTTACACCAGTCAGAATTTTAAAAACTAAAACTCTTTAGATGCTGGTACTGATGCAGAGAAAAGGGAACACATACATTGTTGGTGGGAGTATAAGTTAGTACAACCTCTATGGAAAGCAATATGGAGATTACTCACAAAGAACTAAAAATAGATCTACCTCTTGATACAGCAATTCCACTACTAGGTCATTACATAACAAAGACACCTGCACCCACATGTTCATCACCTCACAATTGCAAAGATGTGGAATCAACATAAATGCCCATCCACAGATCAGATGATAATGGAAATGTGATAAATATACACCATGGAATACTACATGGCCATAAAAAAGAATGAGGAGCGGACACGAAGCCCGTGAAAGGTGGGGCGGGAGGAGGGAGCCGGGCCGGGCAGCATCCCTGCC